ACTTGGTTCCAGAGGGATCAGTCCCAGCTGGTGCAAACTGGAGCAGCTCCAAGGTTGCTCTAATTTAAGCCAGCCCCATAGGCACCATTCTGCCAGTTGGAGATCAGTGCGATTTTGCGCCAGCCAGGCCCCCGGCTCCTACAACTGACCCACACTGGAATAGCCTCTTTAGGGTTGGGAGCAGTTGGCCTAAAGCCAACAGGGGAATTTCTGGGACAGCTTTAAGCCCTGTTGGACTGGTGCAAGGAGGACTTAATGTAGGCCAAGGATCTGGCCCTTCAATGTCTTTGGTTGTGACCTAAAGGCATGAGGAGCAGGTATCTTGGATGCTGGGTTTATATATCGTTTGTTTTTTAAACCAAAGTAAAAAAGATTTTCCTCTTTGAATTCCATGTTTTCTAACATGAGTCCAGCAGAGAATGCACATCTCAGTGTGATGGAGTGTGTGGCCTCAACTTGGAAATAACCGCAATGCCTGGAGTTAAAAAATGATACCCCTGGCTATTTGGAGTGTGATGTTGCATTAGCAAAGAACACATCTCAGCTGTTTCACTGCTTTAAACAGTCCTTCCATTCCACGTGAAAATAAATCCTCAGCAATTAACAGGCTATTAATTGAATGAGACCTCATGAGGTCCCCAAACAATCACCTGTTTGTCTGCCATGTACTAATTACAACTGCTCAAAGTGCAGGTCTGGGTCTCTCAGGAGGAAGATCTATTAAACAAAACATGGTGGCTGCTTCCAAAATGTGCAGGGAACCGTATTGTCTGGACTGTTTATTTCCAAGTGCAGGTATTACACAGTGTGTTTGTGTTAGCACACAGCAAAGACTTGGTGGGCAGATGGGAATTGTAATTGCAGCATAGACTCAATGCCGTGAGACCTTGTTGCCATTTACTCTGTGATAATATTGTTCATGATCCTTCTCCTAGGGTATTGCTGGAACTGATTTCATGGATGGGGAAGTAGGTTGGCCAGCCTTAGAAATGCTTCCCTTTGAAACTGAGCAGCAGTGGGAGAGCTGGAAATTGCATGGGAGGCTTGCCTATGAAAATTGGATTCCATTAGCTGTGCTGGGGCATCGGGTTGGTAAGGAGATTTTTGAACTGTTCTTTGCCACCACTCCAGCCAGCAGAGATCCCTCAGTGGAGAAACCACTCTACTGGTCGCCTGGGGAACTCCTGCTGCCTCGCATGATTGGTTTTTAGGATGGATTTGATTCCTGCTTTCCGGGCTTTGGGCAGGTAGGTCCCTTCAGTAGAAGCTGCTTTAATAGTGGAATCTGGATTGCATTTGTTTAATATTTCAGGACTGTTTCAAAAAGCCTGTGGCACTGAGGCGAAGCCTAGGTCTAGTTTTGATTTTGAGTAAGATTTGCTGTCAGAAGGAAATATCGCAAGACTCCAAGGGCTATTTATTGTGATCCACTTGATTCCTGAACAGCGGAAGGGCAGATGGGTCTGTTACCCAACTGCAAGATAGGGGTCAGGTCCTCCCATCTCCCAGGGGCGTTATGAGGATGAAATCCATTAATGACTGTGAGGGGATGAGGGCAGTATAACTTACCTGGATAGAAACAGGGAAGAGGGGTAATTTCCTGATGATAAAGGTACTGTGGGACTAGCAGCTCACAGCCACAAGAAGGTGCAAGGGGGGGAGGATGAAATACCAAGAGGTAGCTCAAAGAAGCCACAGTACAGCCCTATAGTGGCTTATGAGAACTACATTTTTCTGAGATATTTGTTATAATTCCCTTTTGAGAAATTCTTATTATGCCCACAGCAATCTTTTTGTCAGATAACATCCTGAGCAGGCCAGGATTTGGGGGAATCCAATGATAAGCAGAAAGGAATAAACATTCAGCAACGTCACCTAAATAAACATGGCCCAAGGGAGGAAGGATGGTCTATTGGTTAGAGGGCTTGCCTAGGACTTAGGAGACCCATGTTCAATTCTCTGCTCTGTTACAGGCTTCTTGAGTGACTTCCACCAAGTCACTTAATCTCTTTGTGCACCAGTTCCCCATCTGTAAAATGGGGCTAATAGCAATCATGATAATAAGTATAGCATGATTAACCCAGCTGCACTGGCAATGTTCCACAGAGGAAAGACTTGGGAAATAGAGCAGAGAGATGTAGAGATCCAAGGTTCTGAGGGTATTTCTTTCTCTAATACATAGCACAGACTTCCCATTAGAAATGCAAAATGTTTTTTTAAACTTCAGTCATACTTGGGGGCTAAATAGTGATTTAATTTACTGAGGGGGGGGGGCATTCGGGGGAGAGACAAACTCCATTTGTAGCCTAGTCTACGCACAGGTTTTGAACCAGTATAATTACTTGGGTTAGGGGGTGATTTTTTTTTTTAACTGAAGTGGTCACACTGTACAATCCCTAGTGTGGACACAGTAATACTAGTATAAGGGTGCCTTGTACAGCTAGAGCTCGTAACACTTCTAAAGGCTATTTATGCCCACACAGCTGCATCCGCACTGCAGGGGTGGGGGTTCCTACTGCTTTAACTTGACTGCTATTGTTAAAGTGGCACAACTAGTATGTGTGGGAACAAGCCCGTTCTTAGGGTATGGCTGCACTACAGAGGCTATGCCGGCATAGCTGTGTTGCCGTAGTAATGCTGGCATAATCCCATCATTCAGATGCAGCCTCACCAACAGAAGGGGTTTTTCGATCAGTGTCAGAACGCCGCCTCCCCCATACGATGGTAGCTAGGTTGACAGAAGCACTCTTCCGTTACATAGCTGTGTCTACACTGGGGGTTAGGTTGGCATTGCTACATCAGTCGGGCGGGAGGGGTGCTCAGTGGTTTGAGCATTGGCCTGCTAAACCCAGGGTTGTGAGTTCAATCCTGGAGGGCGCCATTTAGGGATCTGGGGCAAAAATTGGGGATTGGCCCTGCTTTGAGCAGGGGGTTGGACTAGATGACCTCCTGAGGTCCCTTCCAACCCTGATATTCTATGATTCTATTCTATGAATGTTGACCTAACTTCTAAGCGTTGACCAGGCCTCACTAAAGACAAAAACCCAGTTCAAGGCTCCCAAAAGCTTGAAGTTCCTGAGGCCCTGGCCATCCCCTGTACCCAGGGGATGTGTAGCTTAAATGAACAAAAACTACCCAAAGTTTTGCTTCTGTTGACGAGTGCTTTGAACCCACAAAGTTCAACTAGCTGTGAAATTCCCTGAAATGGGCTCTCCTGACCCAGGGCTTTGGCTGTGTCGTGTGGTTTGGAGGGTTTTTCTTTTCTTGTTTTAAACCAGCAGAGTCGCACTGATTCTACAGAGTGGGCCGAACTCTGCTGTCAATCACAGCCTGTGGGTTGAGCTGTACACGTCAAACTCCACATTCCCATTCAGCCCCAGTGGAACTCCCATGAGCTCACAAAGGTGTTTGCACAAAGAGCAAGGGTAAAAAGTCTTAGTGCCGTAAGTAAACTCTCAATATTTCACTGTCTCATTCAGCATCCCTTTTTATACCTCTGCTGTTTCTGCCCTTTATTTCTCCTTCCTCCCGATCCTCATTTCTCTCTCTTCTCTGTCTGCCTTAATGCACAGGGAGGAAAAGAGCAGTTTCTTCCTTGCAGCTATTCCCACCCATCCATCTTCCAGACACTTGACTCCTCCCCCTTTCCCTTTTCAGCTGCAAAAACGCACACAGCAATTAAATAGTTAATGTTGACATCATAACTGTCATCGTTGGGCTTTAGGGTCAACAAATAATGAAATGCATAGATTATAAAGCCAAAAGAGACCTTGTGATCATCTAGTCTGATAATACAGGCTGTAGGACTCCCCTGAATTAGTTCTTATTTGAACAAAAGTATATTTTTTAGGGAAAAAAACTTCCAAACCTAAAATTGCCAGTGACAGAGAATCTACCACAAAGCTTGGTGAGTTTTTCCAGTGGTTGACCACCATCACTGTTAAAAACTTGTACCCTATTTCTTCTTCTTCCTTTATGCCGCTTTTCCTGGTGAGGGTCGCAGCGGCAGCATGGAGAGTAGGGAGAATCAGACCGCCCTTTCCTCCGCAACAGGTTCCAGCTCCTCCTGGGGGATTTCCCAGTGTTCCCAGGCCAGCCGGGGGATATAATCCCTCCAGTATTTTCCTGGGTCAGCCTCAGGGCCTCCGCCCAGTGGGATGTGCCCAGTAGCGTTCCAACAGAAGCCTCCCAGGGGGCATCCTTACCAGATGCCCGAACCACCTCCAACTGGCTCCTCTCGATCCAGAGGATCACCTTTTCGGGCTTGGCCCAGCCAGGTTACGTGAGTAGCCTGAACACCAGACGCTCGCCTGACACCACCCCCAGGAGAAGGTCCAGTATTGCTAGTCCAGGCAAGGTTTGCATGGTCATTTTTGGGCTTTCATGAGGGTCTTGAGGTGGATCCTTTTTAGGCTGGAACCTCCCCCAAACTATTTGCCTCGGGTGACCCTACCAGGTGCACTAGGCTCCAGGTGGCATAGTGGGTTCGTCGGAACATGCAAGCCCCTCCACCACAACAAGGTAAACACAACAGAGGGAACTTGCCCCCTATTTCTAGTCTGAATTTGTCTAGCTTCAACTTCAAGCCATTGGATCTTGTTATACCTTTGTCTGCTAGATTGAAGAGCCCTCTGTTATCAAATTCCTGTGCCCCGTATCAATACTTATGGACTGTGATCACCATCCCTTAACAATTCTCTCTGTTAAGCTAAGCCGATAGACTCAAGGAGCTCAAACATTAAAAAATTGGAAGACAGGCCTTCTAATCAGTCTGGTGGCTGTTCTCAATCGGGGCAGGTTAGGGAGTCCAGACTCCACCAAGACAGTGTTTTCACTATTTGCTTGCAGGCTTGAGAGGACCAGGCTGCATCCTGTAGACTCAGATCAAATTTGGAAGGTTCTCCTGGCACCCAGGAGGGGCACAAATGCTTCTGCAGAACCTAAATGGGCCAGGTAGGCCCACGTGTACATCTAGCATGCATGGTGCTTGATGACACCTCCATTTCAAACAGCAACGTTTCCTCATGAAAAGCCACCCACTTCCTTTTACAGCAAGAAACTGAATCAAATCAGTGGTGATGTACTCAGTAAGCCAGAACTGTAAAGCTCTCCTAAACCAAAGGGTTGGGAGGAGGAACCGCCCCCAGCTTTGCGTGAGACAGGTAGAATAACCCATTTTCAAACAGGACCAACACCTTTTCTAATCCTGCTCATATAATGTTCTCCTACCCCAGTGATTTGCTTCTTATGTGACCTTTGATCTTGTCACTCCTTTTTTAAAGTCAGCCAGCTCATTATGGCATTTTGGTTCATATCGGGCAGCCACTGAAATCTAGCCATTTGTGATCTTTATCCAAAGGCAGTACATCAGCTAGCAGTGACTCAAAGAAGCTAGAGAATGTTTGACACTTGGGACAGGCAGAATTTTGCAAACCGTGTGTGTGTGGGGGGATATGATGTAAATCATGTCATCGTGGGTCTGCTGCAGATAAAACAGCTGGGAGAGCAGTTTTATCATCACTGTTACTCCTGGTTTGTATCACTTTTGAGCTAGAGTGTAGGGAAAATCACATCTCAGTGTGGGATCAAGAGAAATGATATTTCCACCGGACTTTCTCCTTTCGGTCTAGTTCTTACAATACTGGACCAGTGTAATCTGCAATAAACAACTCTGATCCCAGTGGGTGATTATAATATTTTGCTATAAGGAAAAAATAGTTTCCCCTTGTTTAGCATCTCCAAGATGTGTTGCTAGAGACACTGTCTTCTGTGCATCTCCTCCAGAACCCAGTAATGATGGTTCTTCTGCAGAAACAAATCCAGCGGGCTGATATCTTTTCTGGTTTTCCTCATTGTCTTTACCTGCCTTTCTCATTTTGTGAAGATCCTGAGCAATTTTTTTTTCAGTGTCTTCCAATAATGTTGTCAATAAATTGAACAGAAGAGCAATCCAGGCCAGGCCAAAGATAATCCAAATGGCAACCAAAGATCGGTAATAGGAAGGATAATTCCTGTCAGGCTGTTTACCTGAATACAAGGAGAAAAAATAGAGAAGAATCAATTAAGAAGTTGAATTCAATTTGCCTGACTACAATTGGTTGAGCTAGTGTATTGGTCAGAATATTTCATGTTGAATACTTTGAAAAGGACACTAAGATGTAGTGCGTTGCCTCATCTTTCCAAAAGGAATGGAACTGTGCTACATTTTCCACTGGAGAAATGCTTTACTGGATTGGTGTGTAGGAGCTAACACAGGCAAACCCAATAATTTGCAGTGATATACCACAATGTAACCATATTATATTAGAATTAAGATACTCCAGGATATGTTTTAGTAGCAAGCACAAGGACAGAGTGCAATTGGAGGAGTATAGCTGAAATGTACCATGTCTACCAACTTATGCCATCTCCATAGACTTACCTGGCAAAGTGTGATTGTGACCTAATAAATAGCTGTCACAAATAGCAGACAACCTTGCATGTATAGGAGAAACCTATAATTCATACGTTACTTGCTGCAGGGCCTACTCCGCTAAAAAAGAATGAAATGCAATGAAAGCAACTGTTGAAAACTCTCTACCGCATACTGAAAACTGAAGGCACAACTTTCCGCATTTGAAACCACTGGATTGATGTGTATTTCATGCAGTCTAAACCTTTTAACATCACTGGGAGTTCTCCACCTGCTGTTCTACACCGGTCATTTAGTTTGGCTTCTCAGACATAAGCAATCCTCCAACAAGTGAAGCTTTGTTCCCACTCTGTTTAGTCACGTGTAACCTTAATAGTACAATGCAGCCAAGACAGCTCACTGAAATGTAAACTTCTGCTTGGCTAACACATAAGGTCAAAACATCAGCATGGAATCTTCAGAGTAACAGGCCTCGACTCTGTAAGTGTAACTGCACCGTGTGCAGTTTACATTGTGTGAATCCAAAACCTTGGCACTCAAAACTCTGCTGTTTTGCTACATTTTTGTAGCAAAATTAAGGGGGGGGGATTTGGGTAGGGGTTTGGGTATCTGTGACACTCTGCACCCCATATTCACCATAGTAATATGATTATGATATGATTATTATATAATTATGATGCATCTTGTACGAGGTATGTCATGTGAGGTGTCTATAGAAGTTATGGTTTGCTGAATATGATTATCCTATTTGTATGAATGTATCATTTTTGTATCCGGAGTTATCAGTATTGACTGTATTTGTATTTCAAATGTGCTTGCACTTGGGTAACACTCGCAAATTTTTAGGCCTTGTTTACGCTGCCACTTTACAGCACTGAAACCTTCGCGCTCAGGGGTGTGAAAAAACGCCTCCCTGAGTGATGCAAGTTTCAGCGCTGTAAAGTGGCAGGGTAGATGGTGCACCAGCCCTGGGAACCGGGCTCCCAGCACTGGTAGCTACTCCCCTTGTGGGGGTGGGGGTGTGATTATACAGCCACATTAAAGCGCTGCCGTCTGCCAGTGCAGTGTGAATGGCCTATTCTAGTTGAATGGCCTATCAACAAAGACAATGAGTCATGGGGAAAGCTTATCTTCGCCTGATGAACTGTCCTGGGGACGCTTCAGTCAGCCTCTGCATAATAGCTACCATGACTCACCAAAGCATGCAAGGGCATTTGACTAGATCACGTGATACTGAACTCCATTTTGGTTCCTGTATTTTTCCACAAACTGGACTAGGAACTTGGCTTGGAACAAAGGGGTTCCCGCCACATGGAAGAAGCTATAAAAGGGGGATGTGAGATCACCAATTGGCCTCACTCCCCACACAAGAGAACACCTGGAAACACCTGAGGAACAAAGACTGAACTGGACGAATTGCTGGTCCCAGGCAGGAAAGAAAGAAGTCTGTGTATGTGGACTGTTTACACTATCTAACAGGGTGAGACACTGCTTAATTCAAATCCTATCTAGTATATTAGGCTTAGATTGAGTTTTTATTTATTTGCTAGGTAATCTACTTCGATCTGTTTGCTATCACTTATAATCACTAAAAATCTATCTTTCTGTAGTTAATAAATCTGCTCTTTATTTTACCTAAAACAGTGTGGTTTGAGTGACGTGCTTGGCGAGAAATCTCAGCTCAGCAATGAGAGTTGGTGCATGTCCACTTTCCTTTGTAGAAGTGGTGGACTAGGTAATAAATCCATATTGGTTAGGACAGTACAGCTCCAGGGTCCTAGGCTGGGGAGCTGGGGGTATTTTGGTTGAAGCCTCTCTCTTGTTAGTTCATGAGTGGCTCTGGGAGCATTCATGCAATCTAGCTGGGTATGGGGCTCCACATGCTGTTGTGCTGAGTGATCAACAGCACCTGGAGGGGCTTGCTGCTTGTCACTAGTAAGGCATTGTGAGAGACAGCCCAGGCTGGAGAGTTCAGAGGGCAAAATGTGAGAGGGAACCCAGATTGGTAAAACAGAGGGTTCAGCAGTACCCCAGTTCCAGGTTGCACCCTGGGAGGCCCATCGCAGTATCTGTTTATCTTTTCTCTGGGACAAATATGGCCCTGCAGACATGTGACAAAGCAGGAGAAACGTGCAAAAGTTTGCCTTTCTGTTCTTGTCCCAGGTCCTAAGTAGCTGTGCAGTTATGGCCCTGATGTCTGCCTGAAAACATTGTTCAGAAGGGAAGTGTAGCTCTGAGTACTGGGATTTACTCCGAGGATCATTTTTCATGGATAATTCCATGTGGGTGGAATGGAGAGAGTAAGAGTAGCCCCTGGAGTGGAAGCCTGCATGGGTGTGGAGGAGCCCTAACCATTATGAAACTGGAGAGGGGCAGGATGGAGGGAACCTTCCTTGAGGCCCTGCCCCTGTCGTGCTTCTTCTCGCCCCCGCTCGCTCCATCCCCCTTCCCTCAGTCGCTCGCTCTCCCCCACCCTCACTCACTTTCACTGGGCTGGGGCAAGGGGTTGGGGTGTGTGGGGGGGGGGGGAGGGCTTTGGTGTGGCAGGGATGAGGGATTTGGGGTGAAGGAGGGGGCTCAGGGCTGGGGCAGGGGGTTGGGGGTGCAAGCTCCAGGAGAGAGTTTGGGTGCAGGAGGGGACTCCGGGCTGGGGCAGGGGGTTGGGGTGCGGGGGAGGGGGGCTGAGGGCTTTGGTGTGGCAGGGATGAGGGGTTTGGGGTGCAGGAGGGGGCTCAGGGCTGGGGCAGGGGGGGCATAAGGGCTCTGGCTGAGGGTGTAGGCTCTGGGGTAGGGCCAGAAATGAGGGGTTCAAGGTGCGGGAGAGGGCTCCAGGCTGGAGCAGGGGGTTGGGGTGCGGGGGTGTGTGTGAGGGCTCCGACTGGGGGTGTGGCCTCTGGGGTGGGACCAGAAATGAGGGGTTTGGGGTGCAGGAGGGGGCTCAGGGTTGGGGCAGGGGGTTGGGGGTGCAAGCTCCAGGAGAGAGTTTGGGTGCGGGAGGGGACTCCGGGCTGGGGCAGAGGGTTGGGGTACAGGGTGGGGTGAGGGCTCCAGCTGCGGGTGTGGGCTCTGGGGTAGGGCCAGAAATGAGGGGTTCAGGGTGCAAGAGAGGGCTCTGGGCTGGAGCAGGGGGTTGGGGTGCGGGGGTGTGTGTGAGGGCTCCGACTGGGGGTGCGGCCTCTGGGGCAGGAGATGAGTGGTTTGGGATGCAGGAGGAGGCTCAGGGCTGGGGCAGGGAGTTGGGGTGGGGAGGTATAGGGTACAGGCTCTGGGAGGGGGTTGGGGTGTGGGAGGGTGTGGGGTCCCGACTAACCGCAACTCCCAGGAAGCAGCTGCCAGGTCCCTGCAGCCCCAAGTTGCATGGACAGCCAGGGAGGCTCCGCACGCTGCCCTCACACCTGCAGGCACTGCCTTCACAGCTCCCATTCGTCACGGTTCCCAGCCAATGGGAGCTGCGGAGCCAGTACAGGGTGGGGGCAGAGCACGGGGCCACCCTGTGCCTAGGGGCCGCATAGACCTGGCGGCTGCTTCCGGGAGCTGCACAGAGGCAGGGCAGGTAGGGAGTCTACCTTAGCCCCGGGCCCCCGCTTCGCCGCTGACCAGACTTTTAATGCCCCAGTCAGCGGAGCCAACCAGAGCTGCCAGGGTCCGTTTTCGACCAGGCATTCAGTTATTTTAAAGTACCCATTTAATTTGGACCGGGGCAGATGTCACAGCCAGTTCTGTTGCTGCCTGTGCCTTAGCCCTTTATCTTGTGAGGTGCGGAATATTCTCAACCCCACACTGACTTTGATGTTCCAATCAGAATTCTCTCTCTCTCTTCCTCTCCCTCTCTCTCTCTTTTTTTTTTTTGGGGGGGGGGAGGCGCGGAATTAAGGGCTTGTGAAAGAAGCTGGATTGTCAGCCCCAGAGACAGGAGTTTATTTACTCACAAAAGAGGTAGAATATAGGCAATGTCAGTGCAAGTTTCCCCACACCATTCTGCCAACACACCTCAGCCCTGACCTGGAGGGAGTCCTCACAATGGGTGAGAAGGAAAGACAGTCAGTCTCCATGCCCTTCAGTTCTTGGCTGAATTTAAGCTTGCCGGCAGAGGTGGTCTTTTTGTGCTGTGAATGGCCTGTCCACTGAGAACTGGAGTGAGACCTCCAGACTCAATGCACTTAAGCCACAGATCTTCTAGTACCAATGCAAATGCTGTTTACTTGTCATTTCTCTGTGGAGAGGACGTCTGGTTGCCAACATATTACCAGGACAGGCACTGTGGAGGAATCTGTTCACTTTGACAAAATCCAAATATTGGATCATTTCTGCTGACAGTGGTTTGGACTCTGGAGTTCTCTTGTGCGGGGCCTCTTGAGGGGTTCATTCCAAAAGCAAACAGAGAGAGAATATTTTGGTGAGAAATACCTGAAGGTGTTTGTAGAATGACTTTGCCTAGCTAGGCTGTGTTTTATAGGGTTTAACTTCAGGAGAACTTTTGAACTTGTGTGATGTCCAGGAGGGTCTAATGACGCATAGGGGATCCCAGGAATTAATTTCTATGGTGACTCATGTTAGTGGAGGAATAGGTCTCCATCCCCAGGATAAGCTTTCTATTGCTCACTCTTCATCAAAAACTGAAGCTGTGAAGAACGTTGCTTAAAAATTAGGCATTTTAAAACAAGCCCTGATTATTTCTTCACTAACTAAAACACATGAGTCAGATATGCACGTAAGATTTTGTAGTTGGGACACCCCCAAGTCTCCTTTCTTGCTCCCCAACTTCCTCCCCCCGCCTACCATTGCATCTTTTTGTTCTATGGATAAAGCACCATGTTTCATAGTGTCTAGGCATTTGGGCACCCTGAGCCATTCTGGGCTACCCCCAGGAAACTGGTCATTCCTCCTAGAATTACAAAAGCTAGAGCTGGGAAAGACCACTGAATGCAGCATTGCTTCCTAATGTGCGTTCGCTTGTGCTTTGTCCCATCTCCTTTTAGTCACGACCATGGTAATTCTGCCACCTTTTAATTCAGAGAGAAGTACTGTTGTCTTTACCTACTACGTAGTCTCCAAAGCCAATGGTGCTCAGGGTGATAAATGCAAAATAAACTCCTTCACTGTAGGACCAGCCCTCCACCACCTGGAAGACAAATGACGGCAGACACAGGAACACTAGAATGCCCATCACCAGGAAGAAGAGAAGGGTCAGAAACTTGATCTTCTTCTGAAAAATAAACCAACACAAATTGCGGTCCACTTGGACACATGAGAAAATCCTACACAATGTGAGTATTTTGGATGAATAGCTGGACAAGAATTTCTCCCAGGCCTGCAGGAGTTAAAGGTTGACACAGTCACACAAAAGGACTATATTTCCCATGAGGCACCATGGCCTCACTCTCTGGTGAGGAGAGGTCACCTATTATAGCCATTTCATAGCCACGGTGCATCATGGGAGATGAAGTCCAGCCCCAGAGATGAATGACAGCATGAAACACTTGAACTACAACTCCCATGAGGCACCATGCTGACATTTCAGAATCAAAATGTTTGTTTTCAGCCAAAATATTTCAGATTTAGTTGGATTCTGGGTGTTCAGTTGTTTGACCCAAAAAAATTTAAATTTTCCATGGAAAATTTCCAACCAGCCCAAATAACTGTCACTAAGGCCCAGACCCTGGACTGGGTGGCGCTGGCTTTCCATTGGGGGAGCACCCCGAGGCTGGGGGAACTTCTGGTGGTGGAGAGACAGTGCAGCAGCTTCGGCACCATCCCTTCTCTTTGCAGTCAAGAATGGGGGGGCCTCGCTGGGTTTGGTATATGCTAAAATTTCTCTTTTCTTTTTGTAGGTATGACATTTACAAGTAGAAATTGGGCTAAAGGAAAGGAAACCGGACAACCGTGGTACCCACACTGGAGAGAGCGAGGTGAGCTGTGTATTCCCCAGATCCCTGGTTGGTGCAATCCTTCCATTCCATGTCTATGGAATTTTTGCAGGCCTGGGGAGGGAGGTGTATCTGTTTGAAGGATGAAGGGAATTGGCTTTAGTGCTGATACTGCTTTTTATGGGAGAACTCAGATTACTCATTAGCCCCAGAAGAATAACTCCCACCACCTCAAAAGCAGTGGGGAGAGCAATAGGAGCTGCTAGAGACTCTGGGTATGTCTACACTGCAGCTGGGATCGAGCCTCCTTGTGGTAGCGGAGCTTGGGCTAACATGCTGAAATCACTGGGTGGGCATTGCTGCCCCGGCAGAGGCTCAGGCTGGCCACCTGAGCTCTGACGAGGGGGGTGGGGCAGGCTTGAGCCCGGGTGGCTAGCCTGAGCCTCCACTGGGGTGCCACAACCACCAGGCAGCTCTTTGTAGTGCTGTAGTGTGAGCCTTGCTAGGACAAGCCTGTCTGCCTGGGGTGGAAGGCTCGCACCCGGCTGCAATGCAGACTTATCCTCTGGGGCACAATCAGCCTTGAGAGCCCTTGCCTCCAACTCCGAGAGACCCATTCCCATCTTTCAACACGTTGACTAGAATGGCCCTCTTCTGGTGGGCTGTTCGTTCTTTGTCTCTGACCCCGTGGAGCGGCTGGCTCGTGGTGTGACAGCAGGCAGTTTAGGCCATTAGGATACAGGAGGAGAGGGGTGGGGTACTTGGAATCTTGGAACTAACAAGCCATGCAGTGCACCTTGCATCACCCCAGATATTTTGCTCAAATTTCTCATATTTTTGTAGGTGTGGAAGATATTTTGCATGTATGTCTTTTTCCCCACACCCTTGTCTCATCTCTTTAGAGTATAAAATGTTTAAAGCAGGGACTCTCTCTTCATATGCATTTGTACAGTGCCTAACACCGCTTGGGTGCATAAGTAGCGTATAAAGTAACTCGGATATATCTGGAAGAAAACCCAATAGCCAGCATACAAACAATCCTGGAGAGAATGAAACTGATTACCTTTTTCATTCCTTTCTCATACAGCCATCTCCCAAGCCTTTCACACAGCAGAGAAAGCATCTTACTGACCCGGTGCAGGAAAACGATATTAAAAGGGATTCCAAATGAAGCAAAAAAGACACAGAAGATCTGGCCAGCAGACGTTTTAGGACACAGGGTACCATAGCCTATTGAAAGACAAAAAGGTGACAGGGAGCATTCCAGTGAGCCTTCTCCTTAGAGCTTGGGCTTCTAATCAGGTCGCACATATAGACACATTCACACATGTCCCACTTCTTGCATTCATGCCAACACAGCTTTAGCACATCATGAGCATTCCTCGTGCTCCAAAGTCAGACTCACGCTCTTTCCAATCAAAGCAGAGAGACTGATTAAATGACATGTTCTGCATATTCTTAGGGTTCAGAGAGTGCTGTGTTTGGCTCCAGCCTGGCCTTCATTTGAACTACATTATAATCTGAAAGCAATCTACAAAAACACACTATCCACTGCTACAAGTATGCAAGTAGATACAACATGGAAAGAGAGAAACCAGAAGTTAGGGGATCTGGAAGATGTCAAGGCTGGAGTTTGGGCTGTTTGCCGCTCAAGGATCAGATAAGCCCCATTCCTGAATCTTAACTCCCATCTAATTTCTTGTCACGCCATCCCTCAAGGATCAGTGTACAGCACTGCACTAAGAAACCCACTGATAATTTTGGAATATGTGGAACTGGCATCAAAATCCTGTGCCTTCTCTTAATTTAGTGACTCTAAAATTTGCAGTCCCACAACTTCCCTCTTATTTCAATGGCTCTGGGAATCCCAACTCTTTAACAGCTGTACATAATATAGTATCACCTTATAACAACGGCCTTCATCCCAAGGGATTGTAAACATGCCATGTATAGGTGTCACTTCCCCCCACCACTGAAGTGCAGCCACCTCTTATATCCAATTGAAAACACAGAGATCAATTACATAGGCAGAAAGTGGAATTTGGCCAGGACACCGGGGCTAATAACCCTCTGCAAAAGAATCTTAATGGTTATAAATGGCCAGGACTTTAACCTTAAGTTTCATTAGAAAAATGGGACATTCCAACATCACAGGCCTCCTCCCACCCCTGCCTGAGTGTAAGGCCGACAGACCCCAGCCTTCTGCAGGCGGGATCGAACCTGGGGCTTCTAGAGCTTAGTGCATGAGCCTCTACCGCGTGAGCTAAAAGCCTCTTAGCTAAGGTTGTAGAGCAGACTCATTTTCTCTCTCTAAGTGGTCTCGGTGCCACTAGATGGGACAGAACCCCACACCCAGGAGGTGTGTGGGTTACAATAGCACCATACTAAAGTACTGGCTCAAGTACAGGTCGGAGGGAAGCATGCCACCTCGGGAATGTACAGCATCCCATTCTGTAGCACAGTGGGTTTTCCTTGAGGGAAAGGGGCAGGGTCTGACCATGCTCAGCTTGTGAGATCTGATGAACCGGAGCCTGGAATGGAATGGGCTGCTGGGAATAAACACACAGCCGTTAATAAAAACAAGCGAGCAACACCTGGGATCCAACGTGTTCCTGGTGTTCCGCTGACGTCACCGAGAATGCAGCACCATTCTAATGGGGAAGAGTGGACAAACGTAGCCACGCATCAAACCCACCCAGTTAACTCGGATCCAGTGAACTACGGCCTGAGCAGCTGAGTTACAGTGGTACAATCCCTCTACTGTGGACACAGTTATATCAGCATGAGGGTATGTCTACACTAGAAACGCTACAGCGGTGCAGGTCCATGCGGGAAGGAGAATAAGCTCTGCAGGTGAAAGGCATTGTTATACCAGTATAAATGCATCCACACAAGGGTTTGTACTGCTATAACTACATCCGTTTAAAAAAAAAAACCCACACCTTCCTGACATAGTTGTACCGGTATGAAATCGGTGTGTAGACCAGGCCTTTAAAGATAAAGAATTTATTTACACCAGGGTTGAATTTGCTATCAGGTGGTTTTAAAGGGGAGCAATACCTGAAAAATGAGACAATGGCTGCATAACTCTAAGAATTTACTGTAGCATGTCCCCTCCCCCATAGCCATTCAGCTGCTGCAAGGCGTGCGTCATATAGGGATAGTCCCAGGTTTTGTTTGTGTCCTTAGTGTGTCAGTGTCCCTGAGAAGTGGCGCTGTTCCAGCACAAGTCAATCTCTGACTGATCATACAATGGTCCTATTTACGGGGGAAAGAAAATAAGACAGTGCCCTAGTTCATTGGCCTTTAGGCCATGGGAACTTTCACTATTGTCTGCCTGTGTTACCAGAAGGTTGTTGCATTCTCCGTTTGGATGAGACAGAGCTATTTGTCTTCATCTCACTGCACTTTTGGCCTCTTTTGGCCTCTTTCATCCAGATCAAACACCTTCGTAATAAGGATGTAAACATCGGTTAAAAAAGTTAACCAGTTAAACGATTAAAATTGTATTGTTTAACTGGTTAACTGTTAACCAAGGTCACTCCAGCCAGCCTGGCAGGGCAGAGGTTGGGGCTGGGGACCCTCCGGCCAGCCAGCTCAGGGCAGCCAGGGCTGGGGTCCCTGTGGCCAGCTGGTGCCTGGGCTGCTCTGGCCTGGCTGAGGCTGGGGTCCTGCTGGCTGGCTGGCCTGGCGTGGACAGGGCTGGAGTCCCTCTAGCCGACCAGTACGGCCAGGGTTCCTCCTGCCAGCCCAGTGCAACCGGGGCTGGGGCCCCTCCGGCCGGGTTAACCGTTAAGGTCCATTAACAGTAAGCCTAATGCTTACCCGGTTAACCGTTTAACCTTTTACATCCCTACTTCCTAGTTAAGCACTGACCAGGCCTCTCTCTCTAACTGTCTGTGATATCCTGGGTCACAAGATGGTTCTACCAGGTTGGTGGAAACCTCTCGGCCACATGCAATTTTGGACACTATTTGTTTTTTGTCTCCAAGTCCAGCAGCCTCAATTTCTGTTAGCTTTAAGGACAACACTGTGCTTGAATTGGCCATGATGGTATTCACCTTGTCCCTCCCCCATCTTTTCTCCTGGCAGCAGTGAAAATTGTGGGTATGCTGGTGCAGTATGTACTATAGTAATGGCCTTCTACAGCCCAGCTGCGTTCAGTTGTTTCCTATCATTCTTTGTTGCCTTACAGCTGCCTTGGAAAAGATTTACAGTTAGTTTGACCTAACAATGAAAACCAGGGAAAGTCAAGTCCATCTTCCACCTATGACTGGCGGCTCAGCTAAGGTTTTAACAGATGATTCTATGGCTAGAAAGAAACAGACAGAGAGGGAAGGGGAGGTTGAGATGTAAAAGGTCGTTGTCACGTTATAAACTAAAATAATACTGTGAACGATGAATTGTGCAGCTGTAAGGCCTCAAGGCCAAGTCAGTTGCTGCTTCTCATCCTGGCCCATGAAAAGCGGTAATTCATAGCCATGGCTTGCAAGGCCATGATAATCTATCGTGATCATCTGCCTGTGTAGCACAGGCCAGAGAACGTCCCCAAAATAATCCCTAGAGCAGAGCTTTTCGAAAAACATCCCGTTTTGATTGTAAAATTGTCACTGATGGAGAATCCACCGCCACCCTGGGTAAATTGTTCCAATGATTAATTACTCTCACTGTTAAAAACATATGTTTTATTTCCAGTCTGAATTCGTCTAAAGCACAGTCACTTAGAGCAATAATAACTATATTTGGCAGAGGGGGAAAAAAGCACCAAACCTACCTATGGTGGATACCACTGCGCCCACAAAGAAGAAGGAGTTACTCAAATCCCAGTTGCTGACCTCAGTCTGTGATTCGTTTCCGACGGGATATATTCCTCTCTGCACAGCGTCAGTCAGGTTCTGCGAGCGAAACCCACGTTTGATATGAACACCTCCCTGTTCTCACAGTCCATTGTGATAAAACAGAGGAATCAGCCCGCCACGACCCTTTTCCTGTGAGTATCCATAGATCGTATGCATCAGTATGCAAAGTTATAGGCAAACTCTGCTGCCAGTACGAGTAGCACTCCTGCTTCCAAGGAGGCCACCGACTCACCAGCAACCAATCAGCATTTCAGATAGTGCCATGTACTTACCTGATCATTTAGGTGGGAACTGGAATGGGCCCTATGAGAGATCACTTGGTTTTTTAAGAACTAAGTTTACTGCCACTGACCTAGGTGGGAGCTGGAATGGGCCCTATGAGAGATCACTTGGGTTTTTTAGAACTAAGTTTACTGCCACTGACCTAGCATTACAGTGTTTTATCCTAAATTATTTGCATCAGAAATGCAGAATCATGTAAAAGGCTTGTGTAGGCTAAAGCAATTCAACCTGCTGCATTTTTACATTACTGCCCTGTTATTTTCCATCCCTTGGTCTCTTTGGTTGGTTCTTCCTCCTTGTGTCCCATAGCTGGGCCCTGGCAGTTTGGGAGATATGGTTCTCCATGGTGCAATTGTAAGGAACACTCCCCAGCACCTCAATCATTCCTCTGAATTCTTTGACTTTATTTTAGGAGACCAAAGCAAAAAAAAAAAATTGATGCCCTATTAGCTGTATGTTTTCCCTCCCTTCCAGATTCTAACTGTTCAGTACTCATTAGGGATTGTAGCTAGTCTGCCAAAAGAAATGGAGACAGCAGTTGTTAAAACCATAGGGTGATGACAATTATGGTTCAAGGCTCACCAGCGCTTTGGAAACCTTGTTGACTTTCACACTAGAAAAATAAAGGGAGAGAATTTATCACATGGGATTTCTCCTGAACGTGAGGTTTTTTTTCATGTGATCTCCCAGGTTTACATTTTACTTACTATTTGTAAATAACCTGCCTGCAAACATACTCTATTTTGTGAAGATAAATTTGAACACTGTGAATCCTTTAAGTGTACAGCCAGGTTTTCAAACACCAACCCTGATCATTTAAAACGAAACAACATGTAACGAGAAATCCTCACTTTGGGCCTGTAAAATATCCTGGGCCAATGCAAAACAACACAGGCAGATGCAAAATATACTGACCCCGATTTTCTGATCCAGCTGAGCTGCTCCCAGGGCAGGACCAGAAATAAAGGTGGCTTTATGCCACGTTTGTGGATCCCTGATCATGGTCCCAGCTTATGTCCAATTCAGGCCGTGGCGAAACTTAGAACAGCCTCAAAACTGCTCTAAGTTATGCCTAGCTGCCAGTGGCCCAAAAGGGCAGTTCCAGCAACCCAGGATTGCCAGAGCAAACTCTCTGGCCTTGCTCCTCTCATCCAGCCACAATTCTGTGCTAGGAAGTGCAGAGCTGTTCTGCTAGGCCTATATCATTTAGGGATTCCCATTGTACACCGAGAATCTGAAGGAGAACTAAGCCAGCTTTATGGTTGCTGTGCACCACCAGAATGAAATAAGACCACTGCATCATCAGTGAGACTCAGGGCCACTCTGTTAAATTCTGTGCACTGTTATATCCAAGCAGTCCCACTGAACTCAGTTGTGTGCGGACATGGGTGTGAGAGCAGAATATGGAAATTGTATCTCTTGTTCATTCAAAAATACTTAGGAAGGAAAAGGTTCTCCTAGTCATAAAGTAACAACAATAATATACTTTATTCTTAGGGCATCCATACAAATAGAAAGCTAGTAACCTCTGTATTCATGCAAATCAATATACACCACTCTTCAAACGTACTTTGCAATCCCCTACCTGACAAAGCAACGGAAAGGCTCAATTTAATTCCTACTTTGACATACATGAGCTTACATCAGGGACACATTTGGCTCTGTATGATATCCACTTAGCAAAATTTTATTTTAAGGCAAAGGGCCAGATTCTGCTTTTTTACCCCAATATAAATCCAGAGGAACGCCATTGACTTTGGTGAAATGTATCTAGATGTACAGTGGTGTAATTGCAATCGGAGACTAGCCCAAAGTGTGTCATACTATCCCGTTATTAATTGTTCTCCATGTCCGCTGAAGGTAGGACAAGAAGGAATGGGCTTAATCTGCAGCGAGAGAGTTTTAGGTTAGATATTAGGGAAAACTTTCTAGCTGTAACGATGGTTAAGTACTAGAATAGGCTTCCCATGGAGGCTGTGGAATCCCTGTCATTGGAGGGTTTTTTGAAGAACAGGTTGGACAAACCCCTGTCAGGGATGGTCTAAGCGGTTTAGTTGATCCTGCCTCAGCACAGAGGGATAGCTTAGATGACCTCTTGAGGTCCCAGAAAGCTCCAGCCCTACATTTCTATGGTTCCATGAATATCCCCCTCCCCCCGCGAAACACACACAGGATATTTTCAAAGATGAGTTTTCTGACACCTTCCGTCTTTCTCTGTTCTAATGCTAAGTGAGGTGCATCTTTTAAGATAAAGCTTTAAACAAAAGCTGCCTGTAGCTGAGCCTGCCCTTAGCAGCCTTGGGAAGCAGGGCTGGACAACTTGCTCTATGACTGATTTGATACAGACACAAGCCTAGATACATTCCAGAGATGAGACTGGCCAGAGGCTAGACACAAGATCCAATCAATTGCACCAGAATGATCTCACACCATGGCTTCGCTCCCCTGTCCCCGAGAGTCAGGAATGGCAGAGGTGGTTTTTATTTGTTTTTATTTGTGGTCTTGGTTTTGAACCTTTAAGGGGTCACATTTTCTGGCTTTTCTTCCCAAGCCTGGAGGGCTAGAAACTTACATTTTTATTTCAAATGAAAGCTGAGATTCTCATGTAATCACATGACTCCAGGACTGGGGCTTTAAGAAATGCACCAAATGGCACGGGATTCATGATAAAATTGTGAGAGTTGGTGACGCGGGGTGGTGCTTCTGTGGAAGGTTTTGTGGGGAGCCGCAGCAGAATTTAGGGATCCATGCTGGGGCTGCGAGCCCAGCTTTTTGTGCATGGCAGCATGCCCAGGGGTGGGTGGGAGCAGGCCCTTGTAAGAATGGGGTCAGAGAAGCCACTGCTATGCAGATGCCCCAGTCCTTCTGGGGACGGGAGCCGCTGCTGCTCTGGCCAGCTGCCCAGTGTCTGGCCTGTCTACGCAGACTGTACGCTGGGCTCAGGATTCACCCATCAGTGGTTAAATTAAATCTCCCCAACGGATGCACAAGAAAAGGCACAACACTCGTTACCTGCATGCGGCACAGAAAACACCACGTAAGTGAAAAGCAGAGGCTGGGTTGCATGGACGGCCAGAAAGGCCACCAGCCTACGCTGCCGCAGCATCCCTTACCTTCACAAACTGCTCAACCTCTGCCACAGTGAGGTGGGTGAAGTTCTGCAGGAACGCCTCCTTCATTTGGATTACTGCCATTTTCAGTTCTTTCTCGGCATTCTTCTCCAGAGCCCAGAATCCGATTGTACCCAAGAGTAGGTAGGTGGCGTAGCTGACCACCAGCAAACCGGTGTGGATTGTGCCACCGCACATGGTACTCTGCAGGCAAATGTGAGGGAGGATGGGGAATGGTCTCTATTTGCACATAACTCTCTAATGTAAACTCCCCGTAGATCAGAGCCCAGGAGTCCGGGCCCCGCCCAGCCGCGAGAGTTTCCCTGGGGATCACACGCAGACACAGACAGCAAGCTGTTGAAACCATTTAGGGGGAGAGAAAATCTCCAGCTCCCTTGATGTAGCGCTAGTCTGCAGTCTGTGAAACTTTGCCTTGCTGAGTTCTCAGAAAGTGGGTCAGAGTGCAGGAAGCGGACTGGCTGGATGCCACCTCCTTCTGCTGAAATGGTGCTGGGGAGGTGGGGGGGATGGAGAGGAAAGGGAGCAGGTGAAAACAATACCCACAATAATAGATCAATGCGTTGCACCTCATGGTAATTGTCTTTGACCTTGTTGAGACTACAAGGTTCTCACTCCACGTACTTCGGTTCGGTGAGCTGTTGATCAAAACACTGCCGCACAAGCCTGAGTTTCCACAACACCAGACCCTGTGGCCAAAGGGAGATGCTTGGTGATGGGGAAGCCTGATTGTGGGACATGACGTAACAAACTGGCTGTCAGGAGAAGCTCGTCCCAACTGTCTGAAGTCAAGCAGAGCTCAAATCCCCAGCCCGGCAGTCACTTTGTAATGATCTCACCACCACAGGCTCCGAGCAGGGAAAAGAAAGTAGGGCCTTCATCCCCAAAAGGACATGGTTCTGCCACATGAGCTAAACCAGGTATTCCTTTCATTGGGAGCAGTACCTGGCTGTTATTGTCTGTGGGCCATCTGTTAGAGGGGGATATGACACTCACTTTGCCCGTGTGTTACATATTAGGACCTGCCCTACGTTCGCACGGTGCTCCTGGCCATCTCCCCATTTGTTTCGAGGAGAACTAGCATGTAACAGAGTCTCCACTCAGCCAATTGATGTTAGCTCAGTCAGACCTCCTCAGAAATTATGTCCACAAGCCCAATCTCCAGCACTTCCCTAGCTACGCAGCCTTGCCAGCAGTAGGTGATTACATCAGTGACTTCACAGAGGCTTGGGGGCAGGTGAAGAGTCCCAACAAGGGGGGTGAAGGAGGCAGTGGCCCTGTCCCCAGAGCAGTGGGCTTCCTGGAATGCCACAGATAGCCCTGCTGCTCTGTGTGTCTTGTTCACATACAAGACCTTGAAATTATGTCCCTCTGAACCCTTCTAATCTCGCTATTGTGCAGCACCTTCATTTATGTTTTACCCCACAGAACTACAAGATGTTTCAGCCCCGTACATAGACATTCACACCAACTCGTAGCAGAGTGCTCCCTGCCCTGCCTTTTGTGAAGGCATGGTCACGCTGCACTGGTAACTCAGGATCAGACTCAAGTTTAAGCCCGACCATCCACACACAAATCTTTCTGACTGGGTCAGAAAGCCCTTCGGACCTGGACCCATGGACCCACCTGGAGGCGGGCAGGAGGTGGGGGTTGAGTCCGAGTCCTGCTGTGACAAAGGTCCAAGCCCCTCTCTTTTTTATTTGTCATCTTGTTTTTGAACCTTTAAGGGGTCACATTTTCTGGCTTTTCTTCCGAAGCCTGGAGGGCTAGAAATGTAAATTTTTATTTCAAATGAAAGCTGAGATTCTCATGTAATCACATGACTCCAGGAGCTGAGGCTTTAAGAAAAGCACCAAATGGCATGGGACTCATGATAAAATTGTGAGAGTTGGTGATGTGGCATGGTGCTTCTGTGAAAGGTTTTTGGGGGAACAGCAGCAGAATTTAGGGGTCTGTGCCTGGGTGGGGCTTCCCAGTGTGGAAGTAGCTCAAGCCACAGACCCAAGTCATTTGGTCAAATGCTCGCTCATTTTAGCCGGCTGGACTGCTGGCCCAGGGCTCCTTTCAACCCCCGGCCCCGCTCTCCGGCTCCTCCCTGCCCCTTGGCTGCTCCCGCCTGCCCACTGCTTGCTCCTATCAGCCGGCATGGCAGCCAGCTGAGGGCTCCTCTCTGCCCCCATCACCAACAGGCAGCCGCCAGCGGAGCTGAGGGCAGAGAGGAGCCCCCAGCCCTGCTGACCTGTGACCGTCTGCTCCCCGGGGGCAGTCCTCTCCCTGCCACTTAGCGCAAGAGCAGCAGGCTGGGGAAGTTGGCGCCTGCCTCCCCCCACACCCATGCAAGGAAATGCCTCCTCCGTCACGGGCACCACCAGCACCAGGTGGGTAGGGCTGGGTGGGGCCCTGGGAGACGGGGCCACTCTGTGTTCCCGAGCTTCAGCTGTCCTGCCCCCTCGCACTGTGCTGGGATGGGGGATCCCTGCTCTGCTCTGGCTCAGCAGGGCCAGGGGGCAGGGGATGGGGGAGTGGGTCTGTGGCGGGGTATGCTGGGCAGTGGGGGAGGTTTGTGTGTTTTGGGATGCTAGGCGGTAGGGGTCTGTTAGAGGGGTGCTGTGTAGTTGTGGTGGGGCTGTGGGGAAGGGCAGTGGGGGTGGGGGAGATCTGTGTGCGTTGGGGTGCTAGGGAGTGGAGGTTCTGTGTGGGGTTCTGGGCAGTTGTGGGGGAGCTGTGGGCAGGAGGCTCTGGGCAGGGTGCTGGTGTGCAGGGCACTGTGCATTTGTGGGGCGCGAGTGCTGGACATAGCAGGGCTGGGGGGTGCTGGGTGGGGGGGCCTATGTGGCGTGGCATGGACCCGCCCCCAAAGGGAAGGGACACATGCGCAGAACAGAGCCGGGGGCCAGTGTCCATCTGGCATCTGCCAGTTTGTAAACAGTGCCCTCGTGCTGGGCGGAGTGGGACTGCCCCCGCCACACCATGCCCCATTCCCCTGGACGGCCCCTCGCTCTGGGGACCGACCTCCCCATGCCATGCTCCACTGCCCCCATGGGGGCCCCCACGCCATGCTCCACTGCCCCCAGGGGGGCCCACAAATATGTTTGGCGCCAGGCCCACAAAAGATTCATCCAGCCCTGCTCTGTTCCCGAGTACCTGGGCACCTGTGCTGTGCATTCCCCATGTTAGAGATGGCCGGGTGACCTTTGGGCCTCCTGGAGACAACGTCTTCTGTTAAAAACCTACCGGGGATCCCCTCTTCACCTTGCACCCTATTCTCTTCTAGCTGGGTTCTTTCACCAACCTTTCCTATTCTCCTACCCTGCCCAGAACCCCAGCTTTATGACTCTGATTCAGCTACTTCAGCACATGCTCAGCTTTAAGCACATGCCTAGATCCATCCCGATTCAGCAAAACACTTAAGCTGGGGCTTAGCTTTAAAACACATTGAAGTCCCTTTGAACTCTGCATGTGCTTAAGCTTAAGTTCTTTGTTGAATCAGAGTCTGTGGGCCCAATTCCAGACCTTACGCAGGCAAAACTCCCATTGATTTTAGTGGGAATCTCTCTCTCTCTCAATAGATCAGACCCACAGTATTATAGCAGCTGTTTTTAAGGTTTTGAAAGTACTCCAGCTCGGAGCTGGCTTGGCAAAAGACTTATTCACTTAACACAACCGGCGAGGTGTTCTCTAAATAGCCAGTGATATCTGGTCGCCCTGGCGGTTTGCTTTAGGCCTATTATTTCTTAATGCATTTCACTCCCATGATGCTCTTTTTTTACACCATCAGAGGAGGAATGTTTCCTGAAGATGGTGTATTATTAGATGAAGGACAAAATTAGTTGCTAATCCTGCTGCTGCTATTATTGTCTGGCAAAGCAATATTCACGTGGGACGTGATTGATTCATAAGTAGTGATCTGGAAAACAATGTTTCCAAAGCCAAACGTGTGATGATTTGCTTCTCCCAACAGCATTCTGTGCAGCGTCTGTACCGCCCGACAGCTATGTAGACCTTGGTAGCCTCTTTAGTACTTTCTCACTTGTTGCACATCATATTAACTGACCCTCTCTGTGTATCTGGCAGTGGGATCATTGCTTCATTTCCCCCCATCCCCCTGCACCCAGTGGCCTCTCTGTTTTAAAGCAAGGGTGGAATTGGTATTTCACTGACCCTTGCAGTCTTCTGCCTGGGCGCACACTCACCGTTCCTCTCCCTGTGTCCAGAGCGGCCCCTCTGTTACACTCACGGCTCCACTCCTTGTATCTGACAGCTGGGCTACTGCTCCTTCACCTTTGTATTAGGTGGGGCTGCTTAGCTGCCCCATGGCCTCTGTGAGGTCACTGCTATAGTCACCCCCTGTATTTGGTGGGGCTGCTTAACTGTCCCCCTAGGTCTCTATGAGGTCATTGATATACTCACCTTCTGCTCACCTGCCCCATCCTTTAGCACTCATATGGAAGATAAGCTTAGATTCCCTTGGAAAAATGATAAGGGCCTGACTGTGTAACCTGTACTCCCATTGATTAGCACACAGTTATGCAAGGAGTTTCTGTTGACTTCAGAGGGACTATTCACATGCATTCAGTGCTCACCAGCATAAGTGAAGAATGTGGAATTGTGCTTAGAGGGTCAGAATCTGTTCCTACCAAAGTCACTGGGAGTTCTGCTGTACTTGAGAACTTGCTGACTGGGAGGGGAAAGCCCCTGAAGGCAGGCATTGTCCTTGGACAGCAGGACAGAAGAGAATTTGGCTAGGCTAAGCCAACCCATGTATCATGTACATCCTTAGAGACGTTTCAAGTGAAGTTGCTGAGTCTTAAGATTTACAACCTTGATGGCTGAGTGTGCACAAGCTCTTTGGCTGCTAGGCGGCTGTTCTGTTTTTGTCTTAAAATCATAAAAGTAAATCAGCTGCTGATGAAGGATTTAAGCATGCTGTCCGGTTCTGCTCTCCAAGGCCCCATGTTTTCAGTGAATTTGAGAAATGCAAAGACTCTGGGCTTGCTTCCAGTTCAGTGGGATAAACAAGAAGTGACAGACGGGCTATCGTCTGTGGAGTGCTGATTGTCCTTTAACACAGAAACCTGCAGCTGACTCTGGACAGAACAGAAAAACAGGAAAACTGTGAATGGAGATGGCTTTCTTTGAAGGGCTTGCAAAATGCCATGGTTTTTTAAAGGTGGCCTGTAAGGGATTAGGGAAAACATAGGGCTAGTTGACCTTTTTCATCTTTAGGGTGTATAAAGAATGCCTGAGGTTTTGTTTTTCAGATATTTTCCCCTCTGTTTTTATCTTGGCAATATTA